CCTTCATAGTAAACCAAATTTGCTTATAAAAACATCTTCTTAGCAGCCCCTGTGGTGACACATGACTGTAATCCCAGCACTCAGGGAGGCAGAAGCAGGAGGATTTGTAGACAGCTTGGTCTACAAAGCAAGTCTAGGACAGCTAAGGCTACACAGAGAAACCCTGTCTCAAAAAAACAAACAAACAAACCAAAAAAAAAAAAAACCAAAGAAATTTTTTCCTTAGTTTGTCATTTGCCTTTTACTCTGTTTAAAAGATTTTTATCATAGGGAAGTTTTATAATTCTGAAGTAATTGGCACATCTTTAAAATCTATGTTTTTGATATTATCCTTAAGTTGCTCCACACAGACTTGAAACTGTTTTTTTAAAGCACACAAACTCACCTAAAATCACTACCATTTGACAATTTCAATTACTTACACCAGAGCATATTTTATACATACTTAAACTGGCATTGTTTTCTAAAGTATTTTCTGACACAGGCCTTTTAAAAATTTGGCATATTAAATGATTTTAAGACTTTTTGCAAGACCAATGAATCATAACATCCCCCATTTAACAATAGCTCCAAAGTTCTAAAACTGTTCATGCATACACCATCACTGTCTAAGTACTCTCCAGTGTTTTCTGAAGGACCAGGAAAAATAAACTCATTCTTGGGAGCCAACTATAGTTACATATGATGCATTCTGTTGTAATGACAGGACATCATCAATGCTTAAAGGCGCTTTGCTTTCACTCTAGTCTCTGCTAATCTAACTTCTTCATTTACATCACACTTTCAGGCTGAGCCCTTGGTTAAAAGTTCAAGCTCTAGAATCACCATTTTGCTCTATCCTCCTACCTGGAGCTTTACTGACTTCATAGCCTTGACAGAAACTACACAAAGCCCCAAACCTATTTTCTACAAGGAGGTAAATGTCAGTATTTACACCTCAGAAGGCTTTCGTAAAGAGTTGAAGCAGGAGGATGTACACGAATGTGGACATGAGCATTGTGCTTGGTAGGTACTAGGGTCAGATTTGCTCCACCCTGCCCCAAAGGTAAAGGTCAGTCTAGTAGAAGAAACCATGTCATCAGAAGGTTAAGCACTGAGATAGTCCATAAACAGGATATCATGAAGACCTAGGAAAACGTCCTAGCAAGGATGGCAGGGCCCAGCTTTCCTGAGATGGAGATGCCTGAACTGTCAAGTGGTTAGAAGAAAATAAAGAGACATGATGTTAACCCAGAACAGAACAGAATGCAATCAAACTGAAGCATGAGTGGAAGCCAGAGAGCAGAATCTTTCTTCTATCTAGTTTTCCCACGAGAAAAATTAAATACTATCAAACTTGGGCTTTTTGTAACTCTGGTGGTAAAACATGAATGGTATGTTATGTTCAATAAGGTAGTTCTCCAATGTCTCACTGCCTGTGTTACAAAGTTATGACATTCCCATGAAATCCACATATTTTAAGGACTTAAAGAAAATTTTGATGGTATCACTTAAAAACCACCTTAGGAGCTTGCTGCCAAGTCTAAAGAATTGAGTTGAATCCCTGGGATCCACAACAGACTACTTAAGTTTGTCTTCTAGCTTCCAGGTCTGTGCTGTGATGCACATGCAAGCGTGCATGCATACACTCTTTTTTTTAAAAAAAAAAAAAGATGAATTTAGGACAGTCTCTTAAAATAGATGGTTAAACAGCTTTTTCTCCAGACTTACCTAAAAGATAAGTTCAAAACAAAACCACTGATCCTCAAAGACAACTTATCCCATGACTTCACTGGTAAGGGTAGAAAGACTATGCTTTCGGAAGTTTGAAGTGCTCAAACTGCAAGGAATTCATAACTTTGGGGGCGCTAACAAGTTAAATCTGACGAACACCAAGTAACTATTGCTTGATTTAAAGTTTGTTCATTTTAACTTAATTTTCCATGCTGAAATGAAGGTGTGCTATCCTCCCACAGAAACTTTTGGTACAATGCGGCTGGCCTATCTTTCTAGTAGGGAACTACTTTAAACACTAACCTGCTTTACTTCAAAGGCAAAGGAGTAAACAATCTTCTTTCAAAAACAAAACAAAACAAAAACAAAACTAACACAAAAAGTCTAAATACCGAGTCTGTAAACGAGAATAACTAATTTTACAAACTTCATTTCCACAACTAAAGGAACCCTCAGCATTTTTTTCCCTAGGACATAGTAACTAGTTATGGGGTGGAGGGAGAGACACAAGAAAGATGCACTGAGAGAAGCATGCAGCACAGCAATAAACTTGCACTCTTAACAAGCTCAACAGCAGCACTGACTGTTCTCTGCAGCCACAATTAGGAGGAGCAGGAAAACCCCCAAAATTAATTTAGAGTTAGTCCAAAACTTCACTCAAGGTACCATCAAGATCACATTCTATGTTGTTATCTGCGGGATACAAAGTAAAGGACTTACTCCCTGTCTTCAATGACTTACTTCATAGTCAGATATAAGGGAAATAAGCCTGCACTGACAAAATTAAGTAGAGCAAGAAGGTGGAGTTCCCTAGAACAACAGAGTCTATGTAGTATCTAAAGCCACCTGGCCAAATTAGCTCACACTTCAGATGTGACATACTAGGAATTTGGGCCACACCTACCATGGCCTGACCATAAGGCTCAAAAAAAAAAAAAAAAAAAAACTTACACGCTGATGAAACATCCTAGCATATCTAAAGCTGGCTTTTTGGCAAAATAGTTTTTAAAGATGATGCCAAGGGGGGAGGGTAAGGTTAACATTTTCTGAAAGCACTTCAGCCTTTCCTCCCAGGCTTAGTAAGTGCTCCCCCAAAACCTCCAAAAAAGGGCATAATAGAAGATAAAGCAAGCCAGTCTTGCGTTTGCATACTCAGAATTTAAAATAAGATATCTGTTTCAACTTACTATGGGATGCAACAAATACAAGTTTTAGGGGGGGAAAAATTCCAACATCTTGAAACCTTTCCAAACAAAGAAAAACCTCATATCCCGATTTTCCTCAACTACACTCGCTTTTTCGGTGTGTTAGGTTTAGGTCCTAGAAACTTAAAGAACAAAAGAACTTAGTTCCTCTTCTGTCACCCCAGTGCCTTTCTAAAGCAGCGATCTTTTACTCCGTTCTTAGCTTTTGGCTGTATTAATGCTACTCTAGCAAAGAGCAAGTACACACAGAGAACCACCCAAACCACTTGAACAACTTGACTGCATTTCTGTATGCGTGCCCTCACCACAGACCCCCAACGACTGCGAGCCAACTACGAGCACCAACAGTGACCTCGTCGGAAAGGGGAATCCTCTTTTTGGCAGACCTGGCTCCCTTAACTTCGGAGACGAGGCTCAAGGAATAAGTGTGTAAGCGTCCCTCGCTTTCTTAATTATCGCCAGGGTCACCAGAGTGCACAGGTGACAGGAAGAAGGGGCTTCCAGGGCCACGCGGGGTTTGAGAACGGAGGCGCTCGAGCCCCGGGCCACGGGCTCCCGGTTACCTTTGGGGTCAGAGCGCGCGTTCCCGCCGGGCCCGGGGGCGCGCCGAGGTCGCCGGCTGGGCCCAGCCCGGCTGAAGAGAGCTGGCGGACACCCCGGGGCTCCGTTCGTTTGGAAAAGCACACCGCATGCCCCCGCGCCTGCCCGGCCACGCTCCCCGAGAGAATGGAGCCCGGGGCGCCGCTGTTACCCAATAATCATGCCCCGCACCGTCGCAACAATGCGTGCCCCGGGCAGCCCGAGAGCACGAGTCCCGCGGCCCGGAGCCGCGCCGGCCCAGCGGAACCCGCAGGGCCGAGGGGAAGGGAGGGGTGGCGCGCGAGGCGCGGAGGCCGGCGCCACAGGCCGCGGCGAGGCCGGCTTTTTCCCAGTGCGTAGCCCGGGCCTGGCCCCGCGAGTCCTGGCCCAGGCCGAGCCCGCTCGGCCCGGTGACTCAGGCCGGGCCCGCCGGCTCCGCTCCGCCCTCGGCGTCCTACGCCCACGACTTCTCCGGCCCGGCCGCCATTCCGCCGAGCAGCGGCGCGGCGCCTCAGGCCTCGCCGGCAGCCCGGGCTCGGGCGCCGCGGCCCTAGTCACTGCGACGCCGCGGCTCGGCCGGGGCCTGCGCCGCCTCCCGCCGCCGCAGGCCCGAGCCGCTACTCACCCGCATCTCCGGGCGCCCCCCGACGCTCGGGCGACGGCGTGGGGTGCTCGCGGGGCCCGCCGAGCTCTGGCCGCGTCCCTCAGCGCCCGGGCTGCCCCGCCTGGAGCTGCGTGCGACACGGCGCCCGCTCCTCCTCCTCCTCCCCTGCCCGCCTGCCGGCCCTCCTCCTCCTCCTCCCGCCGCCGCCGCCGCCGCCGCCTGCACCACGCAACCTCCGCCCTCTCGCCGTCCCTCGCCGCTCCCCGCCCTCCCGGCTTCACCGGCTCTGGCGACCGCGGGGCCCAGCCGTGGGGGAGGAAGGGAGGGCCGGAACGCGCCGCCGTCCGCGTCCGGGGCGGGGGGAAACCGTCCGGGAAACCGTCGCCGCCATCGCCCGGCCGGCGGCGGCGCGGGAGGGGCGCCGAGCCGCCCTCCGCAGGCCCCGGCCGCCCCTCCGGGCCGGCTCCCGCTTTGCGCCGGCGAGTCTACCTGCGAGCCATGGCCTCCGCTTCCCAAACGCCGAGCGGGGGGCTGTGCCGGATCCTCCGCCAGGTTTTCCCGCCGCCCTCGCGTCGGGGCGGCCTCGCCGGTCCCGGCTTCCCGCCACTTCGGACTTGTCGTGGGGGCTGAGCCGAGCTTGCGGGGCTCCGGCCTCTGAGGAAACTTCCGGAAGCGGCGGTGGGAGCAGGGCCTCGGCCTCCCCTGCCCATCTCCTGCGCGCACGTCCCGGGAGCTGACGCGGGGCCCCGACTGCCCCGGGCCGGGCGTCTCGGGTCCCGGAGTTGAGGGCGGCAATGGTATCCCCGACCGCCGGATGACAAAGTCAAACGGGCAGGCGGCCCCCAGCTCGGCGCAGACTCCGGAGAAACGTGCGGCCGCTTCTCCGACCCCCTTCCTACCTGCAGGCCTTGGAGATCCCTGCGGAAAGCTCCCGCCCGGCCGCAGGCCCACGTGTTGTGTGTCTCCCTCTTTAATACTTTTCTCCCTTCCCTCGGCAGTTCCTTTTCACTTTTAGTCTCCGGAAGGTTCAGTCCTGGAGGCTTGGAGTTTGCGATCCCAGCCTGTGATGGCATTAAATTGTATTGATTTTACTTTTAGGAAAAACAACAACAACAACAAAATCTCCCTCGTTGGAAATCAGCTGCCATCGTCTTGTGTTCGTAATAATTCAGTTATAAATTTGGCAGCACCCTAGCCACAGGTGAGAGGCTGGAGGAAGAGTGGGTTTACCCTCCCATCTAGTTGTTGGAGGCAGCTGTTCTGATATCCTGGCTTAGATCTGCCTTTAAATTCCTTGACGGAGCAAGGAAAGATCTTCAGTTAGCACATCATCTGGACAAAAGATGTATTTGCTGTAACTTCCTGTTTTCACCAAACTAGAACACAGAGATTCTGTGTTCAGATCAGAAATCCTCAGCAGTTGTGACAGTCCCAAGTCTACAGTTTGAGTCACCTTCTTCTCAAAAAGACCGTCTCTCTGCTGGATAGCCCAGAGGCTCTCCACCTGTGAGTCGCGACACCTTTGACAGACTTCTTTCTCCACAAATATTTACATTATGATTCATAACAGCAAAATTACAGTTATGAAGTACACACAAATAATTTTTTGGTTGGGGTCACCACAACATAGACCCACTATTAAAGGGTCGCAGCATTAGGAAGGTTGAGACCCACTGGTTAAGTCCCTTCTATTGAACCGTAGCTTTTGTCAACATCTATTATTTTAGAAGTGTTTGTATATGTACATCCCAAATTATGTTATCCTTACATTTGTCTAGGAAAAGGATTTTTTGATTTCTTGTTTTATACCTTAACAGCTCAACTCAGTCAAAAGAAACTTGAGTAACTTTTTTGTAGACACATGGTAGGGTGGAGGTAAAAAAGTGGAAGGTTTGTCCCTTATATATGTTGGCTTTCCTTTTAAACTGCATTCCTTTTTTTCTGTGATTTTCCACCTCTAGATATGAGTTGTGTGTGTCAAGTTTGAGGGTTTTCTCCAACCAGTTTTGCCTTAAGTACAAGTTAGACTAGTCTATATGAACCCGCTGCCCTATTCTCACTGTCTCCATTCCTTGTTTTAAAGAGTCTCTTATCTACTGTCAACACTATCGTCTTCATTGGCTGGACTTTGCAACTAGATGGCATCTTTTCTGAGCAGATAACCCTACTTAACAGGACAATTACTACTTAATAGTAAACTTTCCTCCTCAAAGCACCCTTCATCTTCTCTGTCTCAGTAAAACTGATATCTTTCTGGATGAGCCAGTTTGGAAAGATAGTGGCACCAGAATCAAAGGTCAAATCGGTCTCAAAAGCCAAAGTCAATGAGATTAAAATATAGCTTCGTCAATCAGAAAAGGCTCGTTTTAGCTGGTTTTTAAATACCCCATTGCCAGCGTTTCGTGTGCCTTCAGGTGTGCCGTGTGAGCAAGGATTATTTGAGCATTTTGCTGGAGAAACACTGAAGCCTGCCCGCAGCATGTTTACTACTCAGAAGAGCACCAAGTCACTTGAACAGCCGTGGGAATTATTTCTAAGCCGTGGGTAAGGAACTAGCCATCTGTGGAAAGTGAATGAATTCCACAGGTTGCTTCCTGAACTGACTTGGCTTCAGAATTATCCTGAGATATAATTACTGAAGCAGAGGGCGTGGCCATCCTGGGCTATATCGTGAGACCCTGTCTCCCAAAAAGAAAAGAAATGCAGAAAAGGAAAATATTCCAAACCAGTTTGTCCAAGTTTGGATTTTGTGTATTGCCAGTCCTAGGCCTCTTGTTTTCAGACCCAGAAAAATGCTGCTGTAAAATAGTTATTTTGAAATCTGCCATTTTAGGGAGCGCAGCTAATTGTCTTAACGTTGTTAGACTGGATTCATGAAATTTCATTTTCAAGTGATTCAGCCTAGTCTCTATCAGAAAGTATTCTGAGTTTCAGAACAGTGTTCTAAAATCCCTTCATTCAGGACACTATGACCCTCTGTACTTCAATCACTGCTATATCCATATTTAACTTAGATGCCATTCTCCTGTGGTTTTCTTGTATCTGCTTCATTGGAATAGTAATCATCTTCATTCAGAGTCTACTGGTGAGTGTTAATCTTTTTGTGTGTGTGTGTGTGTGTGTGTGTGTGTGTGTGTGTGTGTGTGTTAGTGTTAATCTTATCCAACAAACAAGCAAACAAAAAACAACCCTCATAGAAACATGGGAAGTAATGTTTGATCAGGTATCAAGGTACTGTATTGAAAGAGTAGTCACCGTAAGGACTGAGCAGAATGCCCTGGGCATAACACAGCAAACAGAACTTGACTACTCTGCAAAAAGAGGGGCTGTGGCTATAATTCAGTTGATATTGGAAATCCTGGTTAGATCCCGAATAAAACCCTGCATGGTATCCCACTCCTATAATCCCAGTACTCAGGAGATGGAGGCAGGAGGATCAGAAGTTCAAAGTCATCCTGGGCCATAGGTTGTGGCCAGTCTGGGCTACATGAGACCCTGCCTAAAAACAAAATAAAACAAACACAACAGAAAAAAAATTATATATATACTCATACCCTCAAAGCCTCAGATTTTTTTTTGCCTTCTAGTGACTCAGTTTAACAGTGAATTTAACTGAGTTTAACAGTGTCTCTTCTGTATGTGATATGATGTGATATAATCTTGCAACTAATTTTTTTAATATTTATGCAGTAGTCTGCCTGCAAATGGGCTTGCACACTAGAAGAGGGCACCAGATCTCATTATAGATGGTTATGAGCCACCATGTGGTTGCTGGGAATTGAACTCAGGACCTATGGAAGACCAGTGCTCATAACCACTTAACCTCTCTCCAGCCCCAACTTACTTAACTTCTATGCCAAACTCCTGCACTTCTGTGATTCCTCTAGCTGATGAGATTTGTTTCCTTTTGTTTTCTTCCACCTCCTTAATCTCAATTCATTATTATTGTTTCATATTCTATTCTCTTATCAAGTGACCTTGTTGGTATCAATTGTCTATACTGACCTGTCACCTCCAATTCTATTTTACATGTACACATGTAGGACTTGTGGTACTTGGATTTTGTACAGTTTAGTGGTTGGCTTTTCTCTAATGTCTATACTCAAATGGCTAGCAATCGCTTATTTATTCATGAAAACTTCATAGGTAAAGTACATAAGACTCAAGTTATATTTCTAGCTCAGCCAAACATTTCACCTAAACATGCTCTATCAGATGCCTAGAGTATTCCATCTTCAGAAAGGAAGAGAAAGTTGGGATGGGGTCAGGCAGCATAGTACAAGCCTGTAATCCTAACACTTGAAATACTCAGGAGTTCAACGCTGCAAGTTCAAAGCCAGCTGGGTCTACCTGATGAGTTTCCAGGTCAGTCTTATGAGATCATGAAACTTTGTCTCCAAAATGCAAAAATGAAACAACTAAAAACAGCAACAACAAACAAAAACAATTCAGGGTGGAAAAGGGTAACATTTTTAGTTTTAAGATGACCTACTTTTGTTTTCACTTTTATCAAAACCTAAAGAAAGAAAAATAAGATGAAATGACCTTGTAATATAATATTAAGGTCCCTGCCAAAGGCTTACAAATGCAGAAGCAAAAGTCTCACCACTTCTTTCAAGCCGTTCTCTCCCATATTCTGCTCTCCAGGCTCCTCTATTTGAATGGTCTTTGTATATCAGAGTCTCAAAGACCATGCATGAATCTTCTCATGCAACCCCTTCTTCATTTTTAACTGTATCATTGGTCTCAGCACCCACCTTGTCATTCAGAGCAGAAGCCTCTGTTTTTCTGCTCTCTTCTTAGTCTTGCCCTCTGAGTGGCAAAGATCAAACCTAAGGCTCTGCACATGCTATCAGCCTACCACTTTTTGTCAACCGCGTCCCCCTCCCCCACATCTCATAGAACATCCTGGCCAGTTCAGACCAGTTTTCACTGGATGGCTTCACGGGCCTCCAGGCAGGTCTTCCTGCTTCGGGTCTGTGCTCCGATCCACCATCCACAGGACCAGCATGTTTTCTGCAGCATAATAATGACTTCTGAGAGAAGCAGGGGCTCTGGTGCTGGGTGGCCCGTGCTGAAGTGTCTCTATCACTACTCATGTTTGACCTTAGAAAGTCGTTTCACCTGACCAAGCCTCAGTCTCCTCGTCTATAAAATGGAAATAGTGCACACTTCGTAGGACAGTGTTAAGTTATAGCAACACATTCACTGTGTCCTGGGATTTTCCGTAAACATTGGATGCATGACCTCTGAGGAACTCCCTCTCCCTGAACTTCTCTGTGAATTGCCAACAGTTTCAGTTTGGAACCACTAATGTCCTATGCATGCACCCATGTAACACTTGTGTAGTACATCACAGATATTCCAAGTCTGAGGATATTGGAGAGAACATTCTAATCATGAGTAATGAAGTATATTTTTCCATGTCATAAGCACATTTAAGCCAGGAAAAACTTGATAGCCCACTGTGGTGGTTTGGGAGAGAGTAGGGGTGTGGCCTTGCTGGAAGTGATTTGGCCATCCCCAAATCACTTGCTTAATTTTGTGCTTGAGGTTAAAATGTAAGTTGTCAGCTGTTTCTGCTGTTACACCCAATTTGAGAGCCCCCAAAAGATCTACAGGAATCGACTCCATTGCAAAACACATGAGGGTCTTTTTATTGCAAATTACAAGCTGCAGGTTTGGCCACAACACCCACAGCCGAAGCGGTGGGAGCTGAGCGCGCCGTGCCCAGGTTAGTTGGGTGATTTAAAGATTCTGGTCTATCCCAGCATGCCCAAGGCAGGGGCGATTCCTGCCTGGCAAGCATCTATTGGTCAAAATGCTACATTTTGGATTGATTGGCTATAGGAAGGCCCCCAGACCATAATGGTCTGGTGTCCCTCCCTAGGGGGATGGGCCAGTTTCCTAGCAACTGTCATCGCTAGTGGGTGGGGAAAGAATGCAGTAAGGCAGTTCTTCCCCTCAGGGCATTACTGGACTTCTCCACCCACCTAGTTCAGGCCTTAATAATAGCTGCTAATTTTTAATCTTTTTGGTCTCTCATTTCCCCCTTTCCCATGATCATTTGAAGACCCAATCTTGG